GGGGGAGGGGGGAATGCCCGCTAAGCTAGGGCAGGAGGATTGCCACAAGCTTGAGCCAGCCTGTACACATGTCTATCCATCTTCTTTATTTTTTGAACTCTAGGCTAACCAGGCTACAGAGTGAGAATGTTTCAAAACAAAAACCTGAAACATTCAAGAAACCAAAACCCAAAGTAAAGCCTGTCTAGGAACAGGCTTTAGTAATGAGTTGGGAGACAGAGAGAAATAACTGGAGACTCACCAGCAAAAGGAGCTCCACTAACGGGCAGTGGAGCCAAGCGTGGCTCTGTCTGTATTTAGCAGGAGGATCCCACTGGAAACAGCATGTATTCTTCCAGGCCCTTCAGCCAGCCTCGGTGTCATGGGTCAGGTCGGTCAGACTGCAGGAGGAGGCAAGGTCAGTCTGAACTACTGGATCCATACATTGCACAGTGGCTTAAGATTTCACTGGTCTTGGGCAAGCAAGGGCACAAGTATTTCCATAGGGACTGTCGCCAGAAATCTGCTGGACTTCAGCTATATTGTTTACTTATTTATTTTAAAGACACACACACATAGGTATACGGATGTGAGTTCCCTTGGAGACCAGGGACAATTGATCCCTCTGAAGCTAGAATTACGGGTGACCAGAGGGGGGCAGTTCCTGGGTCCCCTCATCACATGGATACTAGGAACATACTCAGGTCCTCTGGAAGAGCAGCCCATACTCCTAAGAGCTGAGCTGGACCCCCCCCCCACCAAGTGTAGTTTAAAGGAAGGGGGGTGGTGTGTACTTGGGAAGTCTCACCTCGTAGCTCTTGAATTCCCTTGTTCCCTCTGCATCAGGTCACCTGTTCTTGTCGCCCAGGGCCCCGCTCACCCTTCTGCTACTGCTCCAACCTCTCCTCTAGGGCATTCCCCATTTCCTGCTTTCCTTGGGTCCTGGTAAAGCGGCTGACTGTTTTTCCATCCACCCACTCTGAATAGAAGCAGTCGTTGGTTTCCGACATGGGCATGTGACCCAGTTGGATAATAAATCTCAGCAAGTCCAGTCTTGTGGATGTTCCTGGGAAAGAGATTTGTGTCTCCTGGTCCTGAATATGGGAGGCTGGACTTTCTGCGGCCTTTGGGTGTGTTGGCATTGTGTTTTACTGCCTGTGCAGCCTGGGATGGCATGGAACTCTGTCCTGCTGCTCTGCCTCCCGCGCACTGGGAGTGCGATCCTGCTGCTGCTGCTGCCTCCTTGTAAAGCATCGTAAACCCTCGGACTAATTCCAGCACAGGGCACTGAAGGAGAGGCAGGCAGGGGGACCCAGCTGTTGCTCAGGCAGTGGGGACCCTCCCTCCTGCCCCAGCTGTTGCTCAGTCGGTGGGGACCCTCCATCCTGCCCTGGCTGTTGCTCAGCCCTTAAGCCTCCAGCCTGCTCTGATTATGATTTCTTCGAGACCACAAATCCAGGCACTGCCAGCAGCCAAATCCTTCTCCGATTGTCTGAGTTCTTCTGGACATCGGAGAATAAACAGTCTCCACTGTCTAGCCAGCTGTGCCGAGCAGTATTTGTGTCTTCTCCTGGCTGGCTGGAGGGGCTGCAGTTCTGTGTCCACTTCCAACTGAGGCCTGGGGGCCCTGGCAGTGGGAGGGTGAGGGGAGAGGACCATGTGTTAGAGGGGACACTTTTTAAGTCTCTCTTTTGTCCCAGTACCAGGTATTTTAGTCTCAAATCCTGGCTTTGGCTTTTTGTTTTTGTTTTGTTTGAGACAGGGTCTCGTGTAATCTAGGCCAGCCTCAAACTTGTTCTGTAGCCGAGAACGACCTTAATGCCTGATCTTCCTGCTTCCACCTTCTGAGTGTTGTGATCCCAAGCGTATGCCACCATGCTTGGTTTGTGAAGTCCTGAGGATCAAACCTGGGGCTTCGTGCATGCTGGGAAGATGCTATCCACTGAGCTATTTTATCTCTCAACCTGTATTTCAACTCTGCCAGCTTAGAGGAGCTCCCCTACTGGGTCATCCTCCTTGGGGTTGGAGCCCTTTAACTGCTGCCTCTGAACTCCCTGGGGCACTGGAAACGCTGCCTCTCTCAGCATAGACCTGCAGTCATCATATCCCCACGGCTTGTTTCACAGAAGTGGAAAGACAGAGGCGAGGCAGAATGAGACTAGAACCCTGGCCTCTGGTCCCTACGGCCTTGGAATGACGTGGACATTCTGCTTTGATGACATGATGGGCTGCCTGTGCGTTTGGAGGGGAGCAGGGTGTTCTCATCCTACGCCTGTTTTGGAGATCAAGCTTATGGCTGGGCTGTTTCTTGAGAAGGAAGCCGGCCCCTGGGAAAGCACTGGTCCCCAGGCTCTGCTAAATCACCTTGTCAAGGACAGAGTTAGTGTAGCAGGGTCTCTGCTCCTGTCTGAGAGTCCAGTGCCCAGTTTTCACTTGGCCAAGTCATGAGAGAAGCCAGGGACTAAGGGCAGAGTCCTCAGCAAGAGGAGCCCCCTCCCCCAACACACACCATCTGCTTCTGTGCCCTAGGATCCTGGCCCGAGATTACTGGGGGGGAGGGAGGAGTGGCTCAACCATCTGCAGCAGGAATTCCTTAGGATTCCCATCGTTTCCTTCCCAGCTGCAGACAGGAGGGTGGGGAGCAGACAGCGTGGGAGGGCTGGGGTAGCTCGGGAGTCTCTGTGGACAGGTGTCTCCATCCTGGTCTGTCTCGGGTCTCAGGCTGTGCCTTTTTGTCTAGCTGTCCATAATCTGCGTGGGTTTGGGCGATCGTCCTGGGCTTGCCTGTGTGGGCAGCTGTGTTTCCTTGGTAGAAAGTGTGCTTGTGTGTGCTGAGGCCTGCAAGTAAGTGTCCACACCTCTGAGTAAGCCTTTGCATGTGGGTGTCATGGAGGATAAGCTGTGGGCTTCTGTGTCTTCACAGAGACAAGTGGAGTTGCTTCTTAGGAGGTCATTTTGGAGTAAACATGAGCTGGTCTTTACAGATGTTAAACTTAGGTATTTGGCTCTGGAAACGCCCATTTGTCTATAGTCAGTCAGTGAGCCTCTGCGAACATGTGGGTGGCCTCTTAATATTTATGTGAAAGCATTCATCTTACACTCCTCAATTCATTCATAAAATTATATGCTCACTTATTCAGAAGACATTTCTGAAGTGCTTGCTCAGTGGTGTCCTGTAAATCTAGAGGGGCACTGGGGACCCAGGTAGAGCTGTGCTGTGGCCTTCTGGGACCCCCTCTTGCCTATTTCTTATGGGATGAAACTATAACAGGAAAAGAACTAAGATCAATCTCCAGCGGCCCAAGTGTCTAGTGTATACCTCCACCTGGAGGCATGTTTGGGAGGCTGTCTCCATGTGAGCAACATTAAGGCTGATGTCCTGGAGGACACAGCCCACAGCTTTCTGCCTTCGCTTTCCCTGCTGGGGCTGACTTAGGATAATGAGATGTGCTGGGGTGCTTTCTGGGGTGCCAGAAAGAGCTCAAGATCCTGTCCTACACCCAGGCTGGGTCTCATCTATCTGTGGGATAGTTTACCATAAAACTACAGCTGGAAGGTGGTGATGCGTACCTTTAATCCCAGCACCGGGGAGGCAGGCAGTGAATCTGAGTTTGAGCACAGCCTGGTCTATAGAGTGAGTTCCAGGACAGTCAGGGCTACACAGAGAAACCCTGTCTCAAAAACAAAACCAAACCAAACAAAATTTAAAAATACAAAATAAAACTATAGAATGAAGGTTAGTATACAGAAGGAATATGGCCAATACTTTTTTATTACGTTTATTTAGTTGTGTGTGCACACGCGCGAGCGTGTGTGCGTATGTGTGTGTTTGTGCGCGCGTGCGCACACACACATGCGTGAAAAGGTCAGAGGACAAAGTGTGTGAGCCAGTTCTCTTTCTACCGTGTGAACCACGGGGATTGACCTCAGGTCATCAGGTTTGGCAGCAAAGCTACATTACCTTCTGAACCATCTTGCTGGCCCTTGAGTTAAGTTCTTTTTAGAGTCAAAATAATCTAGAATCTTTAGGTTCAGACAGAACTGAGTCTGAATCCCAGCTCTGTTATATATGTTCTTTTCTGGAATTTTCCGCCATCATACCCTACCACTCCTGGGTCCAGCAGACGTACCAACTAATTGAGTTCACTTAAACCATGTGTCTAGGTAGTTCTGACGGATTGTACTTTGAGAGCGATGCAAGAAAATCTAGCTGTTTCTTCAGTGCAGGTGAGCTGTTCCCTCCACCCCCACCCTACTCTGGAACTTTAATACTTTTGTGTCTCGTGTACACACAGTTCAACGCGCTCTTCCGCCTGGACTGTCTCCAGCCTATACCAGGGCTGAAGCATGCTGAGTTCAGCAGGATCAGGCACAGGGTAGGGCTGGGTCAAGTCAGGCCTCAGCTCCTTGACATGTCTGTGCCTGCTTGCCCAGCCCCAGGTCAGCTCAGGCAGCTGTCCTCAGGACTGGTACTCCTAGGTGGGGATCTCTGCTCTTGGCATGGCTGGCCTTGAGATCGTGAAGCATTGGAGAGACAGGGGACCTCCCATGACTCCTGTCCCCTCAAGGAGTCCTAGAGTGGCTGCGTTCCAGCAGCAGCGATACACAAGGAGCTGAGGAGTGGGGCAGAAGGCAGCTCGGGTTGGTGGGGTGCCTGTCTTGGGAATCCCCTAGAACCTGTTAAAACTGGCGGCTCTTATACTCTCCTGAAATATCCCTGACCTAGAGGGAATGAAGGAGGGGTCAGGGTGCAGCCGGGGTTGCAGGCTGGGAAGTGCTTTGAAGGTGAGCCCAGGGTGGCCCAGGGCCTAGGGAAGACAGGAAAGATTGTACCCTCCAGGTCATAAAGCCATCATCCTGACACTCTCCTCCCACGGGGACAGAGAACCAATTTGGTGGTTTCACAGGTGCGAATGATCTAAGCTAGGAAAGACCCTATGGAGTCTTGTGTTTGTTTTGATATCAGGTCTCCTTACGTAGCCCAGGCTAGATTTAAACTCACTATATAGTGCATACAATCTTCAGACTTGCCCATTCCTCTTGCCTCCGCTTCCCGAGTGGCAGGATTGCAAGCACATCCCACCACATGTGGCCCCTGGGGGTCTTTGTGGTAATTCCCTGACTTCTCTAGGCTTCTGTTTGGGATCAGAACTAGGAATTTTCCTACTGGAAAAAAAAAATGGAAAGGAAGGGAGCAATTGATAGATTGCGGCCAAAGTTATGTGTTTAAGGAAATTTCTGCTTCATGCTGGCCAGGGCCGGGAATGTCTGGTCAAAGAGCTGGTGACGGCCAGGGTCTCTGTAAGTAAACACGCCGTCTCTGAAGACCGCCCTGAGCTCATTTCCCTCAGCGGTGTGAGATGGAGGCTGATGTCACCATGAGTGGGGTCTTCTGGTCATGGAGTTTGTCAGTGAGCAGGATGGAGGCTGCACGGTTGCTGGCAGCTGGTTCCACTGTCGGTTATTGGGAACAGCTGCTCCCCATAGACGCCGCTAGGATGCCCTCCTACGCATCTTCTAGGATGGGACTCCAGCCACATTCATGACCCCACAGTAGAGGTGTTGCTGGGGATGCCTGGGATTAACTGTCCCAGCCCATAACTCCCCGTGTAAGGCCTTGCCCTCCTCCAGGAGCAAGGCCTCCCTTGGTCTAAGGAGGGTCACTGAGGATGCGTTTACTTATAAAAAGTGGTCCTCAGAAGCGCAGGCTCATGTCCTGTCCTCCACCCCCACCCCCCCTGAGCTTGGACGGTGGCAACGTGCAACCTAGCCCGTCTCCTGGGGCCAGGCAGCCAAGTACAGCAGGGGAGTTTCCATGAGCAGAGAGCCCAAGCTGGGGGGACTGGGGTGGGGAGCAGGGAAGCCACAAAGCCCTCTCTGTGGTCCCACAGGCTCTTCCTGAGCGCCACCACCCCAGGTGAGACTTTTTATGGGGTCCAGAAGCCCTACAGCAGTCTCTGCACAGCAGCTGCCAGGGGTGGGGACAGGTTCACCAGTCTCCTCACTCCCCCACGCCACAAGACTTCACTTCCTGTTAGGAGAGCCATGAGCT